GGAGAGAGACTGGGCTGTGGAGGGTTTTTTGAGTGGTCACAGCGAGCTTGGGAAGGGGGTTTCCACCTGACGCCGATGGGGACCCAGCACCCGAGGTTGGGGCTCTGCTACGCTGCAGCCGGGCTTGGCAGGAGGAAGGGGCTTCATAGGATCCCACTGGTCCCAAAGAGAGCGAGGTAGCCCTTTCCATCACTTCTCTTACCTTTAGCATCCCTGCTCCGAGGCCACCACCAGCAACATCAACTGCACCAGAGGCTTGGGTGGCCTCGAGAGCTGCTCTGGGGTGGGTTTATAATCTCTGCGGTGCTCCCAGCTCCACCTCCTGCAGCCCACAGGCTCCTCAAGCACAGGTACCCTCAATTAAGAGCCAGGATTAGGGCAGGGTAGCACCCACCTCATTTTCCCACAGGTTTTCAGTAGGAAGGAGGAGATACACCTGGCTCCCAGGGAGCTTCCCCACTTCCAAAATCCCCCTGGGCAATGCCACAACCTCCAACCGCAGCTCCAAAGAGGAGCGCGGCGCGAGGCCAAGTCAGCCAGAGCGATGCAACGCAACGCAAGGGGAGGTGCCCGCTGCTTGGGGCGGGAGGTTGAGAGAGGTGATATGGTGAGTGTCGCTGCCAGGGCTGCTCACGGCGAGTTGTCTTCCCGCTTGAAAGCCTTTCGAGAAGAGCTGCCTGGGACGGAAGGGCCCGATGGGCAGACTGATGCTCGGCCCAGCGGCCGCGGCTCCAGCTGCTCCTGTCCCCGAGGTGGAGACGGAGCACAAAGCTCTGGGAAACCCATCCTCTCCGGGAGCTGGCTCAGCCCTGGTTATCTGCCCACAGCGGGGCTGCTCAGCCCTCGCTGCCTTTCTCCTGGGCTTTGCTCCAGGCCTGTCCCACAGCCCGTTGCTGCCTCCACCCAGCACCCTGCAAGCAGTCCCTCTTTTTATACCCCCCACCCAGCAAATCTGCCTGTCTTAAAGGGGTGATTAAGCATCTTCACTGAGGAAAGGGGAAACTGAGGCACGGAAAAACAGTCCCCAAGCAACCCAGCTGCAGAGAAACCCCATGCAATGACCAGACCCCATCCCTTTCCCCACCACCTCCCCCTGCAACAGCACCCCAAAGGGTGGCCTGGCTCTGGGCTAGGGGAAAGCCCCTCTCCCAGCCCGGATCCAGCCCCTCGGTTATCCCTGGCATGGATGTGGTTCCATGGGAGCCGTTCCCCTCCCAGCAGCTACTTTCCTAGATTAAAAATCATGCACTCATTGCCTTGGCGCAACGCCACGGAGCCTCTCGCTTGTTTTTATTGACAGCACCATCTTTCGCTGATTAAAATTCCTTTAAGTACACCCGATGGCTAATCCCAGCCCCGAGGCCAGGGATGCTGTCACCGTCCCACCCCCCATACCGGGTCTTTCTGCTCATATTCCCCCTCTGCTGCGTGCCCCTGGGTGCCTCCCTCCATGCTTGGTTTTTCCTTGGCTTCAGAAATAAAGGAAAAGAGTCAAAAATGCTCCTAGAGGTGGGAGAAAGGGTGATTTTTATTTGGGAAAAGAAAAGGGCTGGTGTCAGGGTGTGCCAGGCTCTGTCCTCATCCTTTGTCCCCCTTCTCCTGCTTGGCTGGTGCTGGATTTATATCAAGAGGGATGGAGAGCCAAGAAACTCAGGCCAGGAGGGGAGTCATGCCAAAAGCACCCGGATCCAAGCCTTGCGGCTCCAAATGAGCAGCGGCATTAACGAAATCCCTGCCGGCCCCAGGCTGGGGCTGCTGGAGTTGGGCTCGGCTGGGATCGCCCACCAGCAGGGATGGGCTGCTCCGGGCGGATATGGGGAACGCCGGGAGCATCCCACTGCCCACTGGGGAGCCGGATGTCTGGGTCCAAAAATGGTTTGAACTTCTCTTGGGGGCAGCCAAAGCATCAATAAACCGACCTTTCTGGTCCCCTTTGGGCTTTCTGCTCCCTTTGGGAGCTGTGGCTCCTCCATGCCTGGTCCTGGTGCTCCCCCAAGAGGGTTTTGCCCCTGCCCAGGGGTCCGGCCTCTCCCATCTCCATCCCTCTACTCACCACGACCCTCCTGTGTCTCCATGGTACACCGGGAAGTCGGGGTGCCCATGGCCATGCCCAATAGCCCAGTGTGCAGCCCCAGCCCAGCGTGATGGAGCACCCAGAGCAAACTCTAAGGAAGCCCTGCACCAGCTGCGGGTTTGGGATGGGGGCTTCATCCCTCTCCTGCACCCAAACACCCTGGGGGTCCCCGGGTCAAGGACCTTACCTGGCTGATGGCTCATGTCCACACCTTCATGCGGCTTCAGAAAGGTTTGGTAACACTTCACACTCACCTCCCTGCCCCGGATCTAGGCTGGGGCCGCCAGACGTTCATCCTATAGCCCCAGGGTTGGGTGTGGAGCAACTCACTTCTCTCCCCCCAGCCAACAGGTAAAGAGGGAGGAGGAAGGAAAGGGACATCCTGGGGAGCCACGGGATCCCTGGGGACACACTCAGTCCCTGAGCCACCGGTTTGTTCCTCCTGGTTTGTATTTTGGTCGGTGGGGAACAGGTTGCAAATGGCCAATGTGGTACAGAACGGCGATGGGAAGGGGCTTCGTGCAGGACGGAGAAGGGACCTCGTCCTGCTGCTTGGGGGACACTACAGGGGACATCTCCAGCCAGCTTTGTACTAAGGACCCACAAACATGACCACCCTGTCCCTAAACCCACCTCCCAAAGAGTCAGGCCGTCCCGGTCCCCTTGAGTTCCCCCCTGAAGCAGCCTGGCAGGTCCTGAGCCCCGCCGAGATGCTCCAGTCCCCAAACGCTGCGTGAGCAGGACCCCGGGGGGACGCGGGTGCCCATCACCCCTTGACCCGGCATCCCTGATCAGCCGACCCAAGCACTCGGCATCGATCCGACGACCAACCCGTGCCCACGGCCGTGTGGGAGAAGGGCCCCGGCACGTTCGGCAGCACCACGGGGGCTCTCGCGAGGGCTCCCTGCAGCCGCCGCGGGAAGCAGAGCATCTCACTCCCGCCCTCGGAGGAAGGCTCTCGCTTTAATTGCTCTTTGGCCCCCAGCCACCAACTGCTCACATTTGTGGCTCCTTTCTTTTCAGTTTCGTGGCAGCTCTTCGGTTTCCCCCCCCCTGGTTTTAACCTTCCCGGCCTCTCCCTGCGCCACTGGTCTCAAACAAAAAGACCTCGTGCCCCAGGGGTGGGTCGTCAACAGGGAAAGCCCCAAAATCTCCATCCTGGAGGTGTCAGCTGAGGCTCCTCCCACTCACTGCAGCAGTGATCGGAGTCAGGCCAGGTCTCTCCAGGGGCTCACACTGCACCTGGGGGGGTGCACAGCGTTTAAACCTCTTTCAGAGCTGGTCAAAAGGCAACAGAGGGAGCACCACGGCCCCAGATATTCAGCCCTAAACCCATGAATCAGCTTAGTGCCGTCTGCTCAGCTCAGCAGCCAGGCTGCCCAGACAGCTCAGGGAGGACCAGCCTGTTTACCTCAATGCGGTGTTCACTCTGAAACCTAAGGATGGCACCGCTGTGGCCATAATGCTGATTATTTCATCTTTGATAGTCAGAGTGGGCAGAGCCAAAGCATTTGCCAGCTCTGCAGTGCCTTTCCTTCAACAAATGAGTATCACGTGGATGTTGAAGCCAGTCTGCCGTGGGCTTTCCAGTGGGCTCTCATCCAAGCCGTGCGAGAAAGCAAGGAGCTCGGCCACAACATCCAGGCAACACCCCTGCTGAAATCACCATCCCCGCTGCCAGGGACACCCAGGGTGGCGACAGGGCTTTGCGGGCACGCGGGGAGCCGGCGGTGAGGAACCACGGAGGCAGGAGGGGTACGGGAGCTGACTCAGCTCATGGATGTCTTTATTCGAACTCTAGTACGGTTGGACAGGTAGAGGCATGCGTACAGGACAGACAGAAATGGGAGTAGTATTGCCTTGATCACAGAGATACGTAACAGCGTTAGAAGGACACTGACCCTTCCACCCAGCCGGGTTCACCCCACCTCGTTCACCTATTGCTTCCCATCCCCGTCCCTGCGCCCAAACCGACCCCCTCGTCCCCCCCATCCCCTCGGGGTCTGCACCCTGGGCTAAGCACCCATGAGAGGCGGGTGAAGGTGCAGTGACCCGCTCATGGCACCTCGAATGGAGCCTTTGAAACCCCAGAGAAGGGTCCCCAGAGGCCGTTTGACACTGGAGGGGGGGTCAGAGCACGGATGGAGCCGCAGGCGGTGGCGGCGATGTCTCGGTGAGCAGCTGGCGAGTCTCCGGAGGCGGAGGGGCGAGGTGCATCCGAAAGCGTGGGCGAGGGGAGGGGGGCAGCCCAGGGGCGCGCTGGGGAGCCGGGCAGCGTGTACGTGGCAGGGCTGGCAGCAGGCAGGGGAGCGGGGCCACCCCTGGCACCCCAACCTCCCCTCCCGGCCCCGCCGCCCTGCGGCACCTCTCTGGGGGGAGACCCGGCTGCCAAACCCCCCCACCCCATCCACGGAGCTGGCAACTGGAGCCTTGGGCTGCTTTGGTGGGAAAGCAAAGCTCCTTGGGGAGAGCAACCCTTGGCCTTGGGAAGAGCATCCCCAGGGGAATGCATGTCCCAGCCTTGGGGAGAGCATCCCCGGGCTTTGGGGAGAGCATCCCTCAGCCTCGAGGAAAGCATCTCCCTTGGGGAATGCATCCTCTGGCCTCGGGGGGGAGCACCCCTGCGCTTTGGGGAGAGTATCCCCAGGGGAATGCATCGCTCAGCCTTAGGAAGAGCATCCCTTGGCCTCAGGGAGAGCATCCCTGAGCCTTGGGGAGAGCATTCCTTGGCCTTGGGGAACGCATCCCTTGGGGAACGCATCCCTTAGCCTCAGGGACAGCATCCCTCCACCTCGGGGAAAGCATCCCTCGGGGCACACATCCCTCCGCCTCGGAGAAGGCATCCCTTGGGGAGAGCATCCCTTGGGGAAGGCATCCCTCAGGGAAGGCATCCCTCGCCGGGGCGCTGCCTGCATCCAGCCGGGGCTCAGGAGAAGGTGACCACCTCACCCTGGGGGTAACTGGAAGAGAGGACGTCTTGGCAGGTGTCTGCAATTAAAGACACAAGGATTAGACACGCCGTTAGACACTGCTTTCATCAGCTACCTGTGGAGAAATAGGTGAGGGAGAACGAGACGGAGCTTCCAGGGGACCCAGACTTTGCTGGGTGCAGACAACAGAGTAGCTACGAAGTGAAATGGCTTTCTCCAGAGGGATACAATGCTGCTATTCCATCAGTACATCAGGAAAAGAAATCTTTTCAAAAAGCCTAATAATGGACCCAGAGAGGGTGACTTGAGAAATGATTCCATGAGAGAAAGCAGACGTGGAGTCAGGATGATTTTGAGGGTAGAAATGAAGAGCAGAGGAAAGAAGTTCAGCCCCGCTGCAGCCCTCTCCTCCCAGAAAGCTGCTCTTGACCAAAACTTCCCAAGCCAGATGTCCCAAAGCCAAGCCTGGTGCATTAATACCCCGCAGTGGTTTTTCTTTTCTCTCTCTCTCTCTCTCTCTCTCTCCCCCTCTCATTCGTTATCATTGAATTAATTAACATTGATTGGAGCTCTGAGTCACACCGCCGCCTCTACCCATGTGCCAGGACCCGGTTTCCAGGCGAGGGGCCGTCAGACGGGGAGACAGCGCCTGATCCACCTGATAAGCCACGGAGCTGCTTTTTCCACCCAGGGATCTTGCTGCAAAACCCAACACCAGCTCCTGACCGTGGGTTTGACCTGACTTCCCCCCCTGCAGCCCGAACACAGCTCCAAAAGCATCTCATTTTCCCCAAAATAAACATCTCGTCCTCCGTCGAGCATCCCTGCGCAGCTTAGGCGAGCAGTGCTCGGACGCAGAGGCTTTTCAAAGCCCCACATCCCAGAAAAACTCTTGGGGTAAAGTCCCTAAATCCCAGGGCTTGCAGGAGAGGTCCCCACCTCCTGAGCTGCCACGACGGATCAGTTCAGGGGACCCAGCATCACCCCCCAGCAACAATTCAGGGGCCGGCGCTGGCCGTGCACGAAGCAGCTGCTGCAAAACAGCACTGCTCCCGGTTCGACCCCTCCTGCAAGCAGCTAAAAGCTCTCGGCAGGGCTCGTGGCCTGCTAGAAACATCCCCCGTCAGGTCGATTGATTTACCAGGGACACGACTCGGCTTTTAACTCCCATCTCCTCCTCCCCATTCAAAGCCATTTTGTGTGCTAGCTCGAGACCTGCTGCCCGCCATCCTCCAGGGACCTGCCTTGGAAAGCAGCTTCCCAGCTTCGGAAAAAATTAGCACGACTAAAAATAAATAACAACAGCCGAGGTTTTTTGTTGTTGTTGTTGTTGTTGTTGTTGCTGTTGTTTAATTGCTGTCCCCCAGACAAAGCCACCACGAGCAAACCGCCCTCCTGTCTCAGCTTATCGTTTCTGCACCGCCGGTGGGTCCCAGCCCCTCTCAGCCCCTCTGCGGGGTACGGCTCCTTTATTTTGGGTGCAGATCTGCTGCCCAGCAACAGTGGGGTGATGCTCCACCACCCCCTCTTTGGGCAAGGCAGGAGGTTTGGCACAGCCTGGCCGTGACCCAGCCCCAGAAATCCCCCAGGGTTTGCTGCGGTGCTGCCAGGGCCATCCCCCTCCAAATTTCCAGGGGTGGTGAGTTCACACAGTCCCACTTTCCCCCCTACCAGCACCTCCCCAAACACCCTTAAGCGCTGCCTCCACGGGCTGCCAGCCTCCAGCTGCTCCAGCACAACGTTTGGGTAGGTCCTACACTAACTCTGCTTTGGTTTGCCAGTTGGCTTCCTTGTTTTCTTTCTTTCTTTCTTCTTTTTTTCCCCCCTTCTTTTTTCCACCCCCATTGAAGATCTCTTTGCAGACCAGAGGCTCAGGAGGTGCTGAAAGAAAAATCACCAAAAGCCAAACCACTCCCGCAGGGATGGCTCCTCGCAGCCTCCCGGCCACCCCTCGAAGGCTTCCCCGGGCCACCCCAGGACATTTTGCAGGTCCCTTTTGTTTTCACCGCTGCAACAGGAGGGGTTCGAAGAGCCTGCAGTGCCCTGCGGGACAGAGCACCCCACCGTGCTCCCCGCAGGCTGGAGTTCAACACCTCCCGGCCAACCTCTGCCTCTCCCGCAACGCCCCTCTCCGGGGACCACGTGAAGACAGGGGGGATTTCACGACGATGGAGCAAAAGCCAGCGGCCACCCGCATCTCCCGTGCTGCGAGGACCAGAGATGCCGCCCTGGGGGGCTGCACAGCCCCAAAGCCACCCCTCGCCTTGGGCGTCCCCTGCACGATCCAGAGAGCTGCTCCTGAGCCTCGGGCCGGCGCTTCGCTGCCATCGGGCTGATTCCCCTCTCGCTCTCCAAAGCCAAAGGTTTGTTTGTTGTTTTTTTTTTTTCCCCCAGCCACCAGGCCATAGTCCCTGCACCAGCCTGTCCCCCACGC